CAGTTCTACCGCTACTACCAGGTGGCCCGCGACGTGCCCCGGCACCCAGGTCAGCGCGGGCACTTGGGGCAGTGCACGCCACCCCGCCCACTCCACCTTCTAGAAGCCCAGTGCGTGGGGGTGCGGGGTCTCAGTGAGCACGAGCCTTGACGGCCTGCCCGGCTCCTGGTGGCCGCGGCCATGCTAGAGCCTGCCCCTGCCCGCACAGCGGCCACGTCCTGGTACGAGGAGTTCCGGCGGCTCTACGACACGGTGCCTTGTGTGGAGGTGCAGACGCTGCGGGAGCACACCGACCAGGTCCTGCACCTCAGCTTCTCACACTCGGGGTACCAGTTTGCCTCCTGCTCCAAGGACTGCACTGTGAAGGTCAGGGCCGGGGAAGCGAGTCTGGTCGAGCACCTTGAGTAGGAGGGCTGCCTGAGGAGCCCGGAGACTGGGGATGGGACTCCCAGCATGGGTCCTGGGGTGCCCTGGGCTAGCAGAGCCAGGGTCTTGTGGCACTGGGGTCACACTCATGCCTGGCTCGGCGGTCACCGTCTGGGTCCTGCCACCCCAGATCTGGAGCAATGAGCTGACGGTCTCGCTGCTGCACAGCGCTGACATGCGGCCCTACAACTGGAGCTACACCCAGTTCTCCCAGTTCAACCAGGACGACTCGCTGCTGCTGGCCTCAGGGGTGTTCCTGGGGCCGCACAACTCCTCTTCGGGCGAGATTGCTGTCATCAGCCTAGGTGAGCGCGGGCCTGGGCTGGGCTGCCCCCTGCCCTGCAGCCAACAGCCTGCCCAGCCCCACCTTCCCCCCAGACACCTTCGCCCTGCTGTCCCGCGTGCGCAACAAGCCCTACGATGTGTTCGGCTGCTGGCTCACGGAGACCAGCCTCATCTCGGGGAACCTGCACCGCATCGGGGACATCACCTCCTGCTCCGTGCTGTGGCTCAACAATGCCTTCCAGGTGTGGCAGGCGGGGCCCTGGGTAGGGTGCGGGCAGCTGGCGCCCCTCGCCTACCCACCCACTGGGCTCCTGCCACCCTCAGGACGTGGAGTCTGAGAACGTCAACGTGGTGAAGCGGCTTTTCAAGATCCAGAACCTCAACGCCAGCACCGTCCGCACGGTGATGGTGGCTGACTGCAGCCGCTTCGACAGCCCTGACCTCCTGCTGGACACTGGCGGCCCGGCCCCTTGCAGCCGTGTCTTCGACCTGGGTGGTGACATTGACGAGGAGGCCAGTCTGGCCCCGACTCGTGCCCGTGCCAAGGAGGGCTTGCGGCCCTTCCTGGACGGGGAGCCACCCCGGCTGGCGGAGTGTGCCCTGGAGACCAAGGTGGCCCAGCTGCTAGCCCAGGGCCACACCAAGCCCCCGGAGCGCGGCGCTGCAAGCACCCGGAACAAGTACCTCATCTTCACCACTGGCTGCCTCACCTACTCGCCACACCAGATCGGTAAAGGGCAGGGCTGGGCCGGGCCAGGCCAGGCCAGGCCAGACTGGGCCCGGCCGGCAGAGGGTTGGCAACACCTGCTGCTCCTCAGTCCCCTGCGGGGACCCTACTCCTCACTGTGCACTCGGCCCTGGGGCCCTGGCGGTAACCGCAGCCACGCAGGCAGGGCCCCTTGGAAGAGACAGAAGGGCTTTGGGCAGGCAGCGCCCACAGACCTTCAGGGCGTTTGGGCTCTGAGGAGTGAGGGTCAGGTGCCATAGAGGAGCGTCCCACAGCTCAGGGCTCTGGGTGGACCCTCCCCCAGGTATCAAGCAGGTCCTGCCACACCAGATGACCACGGCGGGGCCTGTGCTGGGCGAGGGCCGGGGCTCTGACGCCTTCTTCGATGCTCTGGACCATGTCATCGACGTGCACGGTCACATCATTGGCATGGGCCTGTCGCCCGACAACAGGTAGGCCCTGCAGTCCGGGGAGGGGTGCCCGTTGGCGGCCCTGGACCAGCAGCGTGCTCTGCGCAGGTACCTGTACGTGAACAGCCGCGCCTGGCCCCGTGGCTCGGTGGTGGCTGACCCCATGCAGCCGCCGCCCATAGCGGAGGAGATCGACCTGCTTGTGTTCGACCTCAAGACCATGCGGGAGGTGAAACGGGCCCTGCGTGCACACCGTGCCTACACACCCAACGATGAATGCTTCTTCATCTTCCTGGACGTCAGCAGGGACTTTGTGGCCAGGTGTGGGCTTGGGGCGGGGTTTGGGAGGCATGGGGGCTGCAGCGGCAGGTGGCGTGTTCTCCCAGCACTGTCCTGCAGTGGGGCTGAGGACCGCCACGGCTACATCTGGGACCGTCACTACAATATCTGCCTCGCCAAGCTGCGTCACGAGGATGTGGTCAACTCGGTGGCCTTCAGCCCCCAGGAGCAGGAGCTTCTCCTGACCGCGAGTGACGACGCCACCATCAAAGCCTGGCGCTCCCCGCGTACCGTGCGCGTCCTCCAGGCCCCGCGCCCGCGCCCCATCCTTGGGTTTCCTGGCCAGAGGCGCTGAGGAGCTGTGTGTGTGTTGATGGCTTGGGGGCCACTGCAGATGCTATGGAGGCCCTGTGGCCCCCCCCTGCGCTTGCGGCAGTGACACCTCAGGAAGGGGATGGTTGGCCCCAGCACGCTCTCGCACGCTAACCACTTAGCAGTACTGTCTGGCGCGAGGGTGGCAGACATGAGCAGCACTGAGACCCCATGTTAGCCTGGCCAACTTGGGGTGCACAGGACACTGGAGGTCCCCAGGGGCCCCACTCCTGGCTGCAGGTTCCCCTGGCCCTACCCGACATGGCTCAGGGTACCTGACCATCACATGGTGTACCTTGGCGCTCCTGCGGGTCCTGCTGGTGGCCAGGTTGTTTCTATGGCTTGACCTGTGAACCTTGGGCACTCGGAGGCACAGCTCAGCCCCAGTGCGCTGCATGTCTGTCCACTACCGTTTTGGACCTCAAATAAACAGTTGGCACCAGCACACTGTCACCCAGTCTCTGCAGAGGGACACTGGGCACCGCTGGGCCTTGGTATGCCGACCACCCAGCTGACGACTGGATGTCCAGGCAGAGGCGCCAGGCTGGGCCACACTGCCTGGCCCTGTCTGCCCTCTGTGGACCATGCTGGCAACCAGGGCCAGCAGGGCGAGGGAGCTGGAGCAGTTGTGGAAGTTGAGTTGTGTCCTTGAGAGAGTTTCCTGGCTGCTGGGTGGGGAAGGGACAGCCAGGCAGCCAGATGGCATTCCATGTAGTGCAGGCAGGGAGGGCAGGACCTGGGGTGCACAGGCGGCAGAGGGAGGCTCTGGCTGGGCATCTCTGAGCAAGCCTGTCACCTTGCCCCAGGGGTTCTCTGGGTGATGGTGATATGACATGGGTCAGGGCTAGGGCTTTGCAGGTAGCTGGGTGTGCCCAGTTCCTGCACATGGGGTGCCTATGAACTGTCCTCTGCCCCTCCACAGCCAGTGCACTGCAAAGGACACGTCCGTGTCACTAGGTAGCACATGAAGTCAGTCGGAGCATGAGGCACGGAGAGGGGCTCAGGGAAGCTGGGCTCTGCCAGGACCCAGCCTGTGAGGGGCTGTGGTCGGTCTGGGCCCATTGGACCCTCGCAGTGAAACCCACCAGCACAGCTGTATGAGGACAGCCACCAGCCCCATCCATCCCAGGTCTACCTGTGGCTGCTCGGCTCAACAAGATGCCACCAGAGGTGTTGAGGATGCGGGGACACACAGTATGGTGCCTGACACCAGTCCACAGGGCCCTCCTGCCAGGAGAGGCCAACAGGCCAGCAGGTGCAGCCATGCTCCTGGGGAACCGCCAACTGAGAAACTCAGGCCCCTCTTCTTTTTGTACCCCTGACAAGCCCTGGAGCCAGTGGGAGTGATGGCCAGAAACCCAGCTGGCCAGGCTCCCGGGGCAGCTGCACTGGTGCGGCCTCTGCTTCAGGAGGTCCCACACTGACTCCCGCTTTGCCCTCCCTGTCCTGTGGCCCAGTCAGGGAAGGGCACAGCAAAATGCAGTGATGAGAATCGCCAGGGTCTGCTGAAGGGTTGAAGGGAGTTCCCCAGCAAGCAGGCCAGGTGGGGAGCTTGGGAAAGCGCAGCTTATAAATGCAAAGCTCACCCTCAAACTGCAGTGAGACACACTGTTCTCTCTGTTTTGAGACTTTTGCTATAGGGTATGTGAACTCACCAAAGAGAGCAAGAAATTACCCCCTGGGGGAATCCTCGGGATCTTGGGCACATACACACGTGCCCAGTGCCAGTTTTAAGCCGCCAGATCCAGGACTCAAACTGCAGTTGATTATGTGGGAGTCCAGCAATGTAACCATTGTGCTGTCTGCTGGTCCCAACATGAGACATTCTAATGACCAACCCAAGAACACCTCCAGGCCAGCCCCTGGACCCCAGAAATAGGACTGGCCTGCAGAGCGATAGCTCTGGAAACAGGAGGCCACCAGACAGCAGGAACATGGGCCTGAACCTAGCATGGAGAAGTTATTTGCTAAAAGGAAAAAAGCCACTGATATTTCCATGGAACTAAACAAGATCTATGTCTCAAAGAAATAGTCACACTGTCAAGAACATAATCCAAAATTACTTGCCAAAGGAACCATGAGGGACCAAAGACTCCCATGTAGTTGGCCGCGGTTCAAGTCCTGGACCCAGTGGCTTAAACTCACACCGGGGGCGTGTGTGTCCAAGAGTCCAAGAGGAGAGTGGAGGAGGAGGGACTGCATTGTGGCCATCCCCCCTGGGGGCCATTTCTCGCTTTCTGTCTCTGGCGAGCTCACATGCCCTATAGCAAAAACCTCAAAAAAAAAAACAACAAAAAAAAACCATGAAATTTTCAACTCTCAAGGGAAAACAATTAATGCCAAGGATGAGACAACACAGATGTTGAAGCTATCTGACAAGACTGACAGTTATTAGGAAATACAAAGTTGTAGGCCAGCAGGGAGGTGTGGTGGTTAAGGTGCTGGCCACCTACATGGCTGACCCAGACTTGCTTTCTCAATGTCTCTGTCTGGTCAAATTAAAATGAATTAATAAAATGAAAACAATTTTTTTTTGAAGAGGTTTTTGCTATAGGGCACATACACTTACCAGAAATACAGTGAGAGACAGACAGAAAGCAAGAAATCACCCCCCAAGGGAGATGGCCATGCCGCAATCCCTTCTCCATTCTCCTCTCCGGGATCTTGGGTACGCACGCACATGCACATGCGCCCGGCGTGAGTTTAAGCCACAGAGTCTAAGACTCAAACCGTGGTCGAATACATGGGAGTCCAGGCACGTAGTCATTACACCAAATGCTGGTCCCTAAAATAAATAATAATAATAAAAAAAACGAAATTGCTAGAACAAGTCATCACAAATACTTTTCAATGAATATCAAAATATACAAAAGTCTTAGCAAGGAAATAGAGTATATGAAACGACCCCAACTGAAAAGCAACCAAAATATAAATAACCACACCGAAGTTTGCTGAGCGCATCTGGATTCTGTCTCTGTAGGGTGTCACTCCACAATCCTTTCTCCTCCATTCCTGTCCTGTCTGGATTTGGGGCACACACATGGACCTGGGGCATTTCTCAAGCCGGTGGGTCTGGGACTCGAATCACCTGGGCAGCCATGGGGGCTCCAGCGACCTTAAAGCCACCAGGCCACAGGCCACTCCCCCGTCTTCGCTCTCGCAGCTCAGGTCATTGCGAACGATCGGGCCTCAGGATCACCAGCTCCTTCCTGTGTCGCTGCCGTCCCTCTCTCCAACGTGTGCATGCGCCCCATGGCAAAAACCCTGAGACACAAACGTAAGCACGCAGGACCCTGTTTCCCATCGGACACCTGGGCTCATTATCTCAAATTCTGGCTCCCACAAAAGCCTGGACACAGGCGCCATTCAGACGGTCGCTGCCACACACAGCACGGGGGACCTGCCTCCGTTCCCGGGACCTGTGCCTCATCTCTGCCCACAGCCTGAGCGGGACAGCCCTAGGCCCACAGTTCCTTCTGCTTTCCCTCCAGGCCAGTGGCCCAAGACTGCAACTGCACAGTCAGCCATGCGGGGTCCTGCTGCCGTACCCTCCAGGCCTCTGGCTGGTCTCCCCATCTCTATTGTGCTGGTCACGAGCACTCGCGTTATCTCGAGGGAGTTCAGATCCCCGACAGTCTTAACTCCATCACAGCAGTGTAGACTTCGGGGCTTGTTCCTTGGAGTTCTTTCAGCCTCTACTGAGTACGCAGTCCCAAAGCTGCTCTGATGTTTCTGGGTGCTAGGCGCAGGGCACCCACCGGTACTTCCTGCCTGCAGCAGCCTGGTACCAAGGATCGAACACACTGGTGGACTGAGGACGGGATTACGCACTGAGCGGACCCAGAGTGTGACCACCCTCCCTCCCATGAGTACGCACATACCCTATCATAAATGAAGACACTGTTTAAAATCACACAAAATTCGGGACCAGCAGATGGCATAACGGCTACGTCGCTGGACTCCCAGAGTTGATTGCAGTTCAAGTCCTGGATCCGGTGGCTTAAACTCATGCCAGGCGCGTGTGCATGCGTGCCCAAGATCCCAAGAAGAGAATGGAGAAGGGATTGTGGCATGGCCATCCACCTTGGGGGGTGACTTCTCACTTTCTGTCTCTCTGCCTCTCTCTGGTGAGCGCATGCACCCTATAGCAAAAGCCTCAAAAAAATTTTTAAATAAATTTTTTAAAAATTGCAAAATTACTGTTTCTCTCTCTCTTTTTTTTTTTTTTTGGAGAGGTTTTTGCTATAGGGCGCGTGTGCTCGCCAGAAAGACAGAGAGTGAGAAATCACTCCCCAGGGGGGATGGCCACATCACAATCCCTTCTCCTCCATTCTCCTCTCGGGATCTTGGGCACGCATGCACACACGCCCGGCGTGAGTTTAAATCACCAGGTCTGGGACTTGAACCACGTTAGTCTACGTGGGAGTCCAGCGACACAGCAATTATACAACTGCTGGTCCCCAAAATTACTGTTTCTAAACACCAAAAATATTCAACTGATGCAACTGGGAACCAAGATTCTAAAACACTTATGGGGTCGGCAGGAGTCATGGTGGTTAAGGGCACTGGACTCCCACGTGGCCAACCACGGTTTGAGTCCTAGACCTGGCAGCTTGCTTTCTGTTTCCTTCTCTCTCTCTAGGTCCCTCTCTGGTCAAATTAAAAATTAGGGCCCCCTCTTTCCCACTATACGAGATGGCAGGTGAAAAGGCTTCCAAGCAGGACACTAAGGAGAAACCTGAAGCCAAGAAGGCTGATGCCAGTGGCAAGGTTAAAAAGGGTGACCTCAAGGCCAAAAAGCCCTAGGGGAAGCCCCACTGCAGCTGAAAGCCCGTTCTAGTCTGGGGCATGGGCAGGTATCCCGGTCTGCCATGTATTCCAGGAGGGCCACTTACAAGAGGAAACAGTGGGCCACCAAATCCGGGATTGACAAGAAAAAGAAGGTTCTTGCGACTGTCCAAAACCAGTTGGTGGGGATGAGCCTGGAGGTGCCTGGGTGGTTGAACTGCGCAAACGCCTGGGTATCACCCTGCTGCAGATGCACCTCGAGCTGATGCGCCACTCCCGGGGACCACCTGATCACCCTCACTGGACTCCACAGAGCAAGAGTGGTTTCCTGGGCAGCTGAGCGGTGGCTGCTACTGTGCCTGGACCTCTGGTCCGCAGTCAATCACTGCGTAGAACACACCAGAGATCTGTCACCGCCACCTCCACAAAAATTGATATTAGCAAAGTAGGAATCCCCAAATACCTCACTGATGCCTACTTCAGGAAGAATAAGCTGCAGAAGCCCAGACACCAGGAAGGGGAGATCTTCGACACAGAGGAGAAATACGAGAGTTCAGAGCAGCGCAAGGTGGATCAGAGAGCTGTGGACTTGCATATTTTACCAGAAATCAAAGCTCTTCCTCAGCTCCAGGGCTGCCTGTGATCCGTGTCTGCCCT